GACACTCTGACGTTTCCTGTCCTTCAAGGAGCAGATCAACGTCAAAGATTTCTTCTTGAGGTCACGTGGTCAGAGGGCACACCAACTATCCCTCCAAGTCATTGCGCTCATCGAGCTCACCCACCTAGGGCATTTTTCCTCCTAGGGTTTTTGACGTGAGATGTCGATGAGTTACACAAGCTTGAAACTTGAGTTGGATTTTCTGGCCATGCGACTTAACTTCAAAGGTTTTACAGTTCGGAAACCCTGGCATCTTCTTTGATCTCCTTAGAGTTTCCTAAGGTTGTTTATATGAAAGGATTTCTATAGGAAGAGACTTGTCTAGGCGAATACAAAGTGAGAGGCGAGGCAGCAACGCGGCAATCGCGGCAAACGTGGTACTCATCATGTACGAGTGTCCAAGCTCCTTCGTTTTAAAAGATGTTTTAGAAATTTTGAAGATAGGGGGAGGTTTGAAATAGAGCCCGGAGTAGGGGCATGTTACGATTTTAACAAAGAAATTAAAGTATTTTAAAACACAAGACATATAGTAAAAATTTTGAAGAGAGAAATATATTTCAAAAAACAAGGTTGGTTAGCAATTTTAACTCCTGCAACCATAGAGCCCTCTAAGATGTTTAACATCATGCAACGATGGATGGTGGAGTCGGCAGTTATACTCATATGACCGTGGAGTTTGTATATATATATATATATTAATTTTTTTTAATTTTTTTAATTTTTAATTTTTTTCTTGCTGCCCCTATTGGGGTGTGGTTTCTTTTAATGTAGGTCTTACAATTTAACCACTTCTGACTCCCTTGGTGGACCCTATGTTAGCGTATCTGGTCCTTGCTTGAATCTTCGGGATGAGAAATTCAAGTTAAGTGGCATGGCCAGAAAATCCAACTCGAGTTTCAAGCTTGTGTAACTCAACGACATCTCACATCGAAAACCGTAAGTGGAAGATGCCCTAGGTGGGTGAGCTCGGTGAGCGTAATGACTTGGAGGGATAGTTGATCCAAATTTTCTTTGAGAGCTTCACAATAGGCTAAAGAACACATCTGAAAAGAAATTTTTAAATTTGGAGCATTTTTGGTTTGTGTGACATGGGGCGTGCCGCCCAGGCGACACTACCCGTGCCGCCCAGATCCAAGACCTCTTAAAAATGCGGTTTGCCTGAGCTGTTGGTGGGTTACGAGAGGATATTCTCCCCAACAAATTTGCGCCCTTTTTAGCGCTTTTGGGGGACCATTTAGGGGGAACGGGGAGAGAAACCGAGGGGAGGAGACTTGGAGAAAGATTTTTTTAAGGAGAGAGATGAGAAACTAGAGATAGAGACTGAAACGCTAACAGAGGAAAAAGAAACCGATAGAGATGAAAAACCTGAGTGAACGACATGATAAAAAACCTTGGAAATTGCGTCAGGGAGCCTGGGCCTCTTGAGAGAAACCCCAGATATACCCTTAGGACAGAACTCACTACTAGAGACTTGCTGATCAAGATCTCGACCAAAAAGGGAAGTGGAACCAGTTCTGATATGGGCGAGCCCCAAAGGCTTGGGAGTCCCGAGCCATCCGGCCCGGTTTGGTATCATTCTTAACCCTCTCTCATTCTTCCTTTCTTTATTGATGTATTTTATTTTGACATGTCTTTTTTATTAATTCGTTTTTCTTTAAAAATCATATTTTTGATATCTTGGATCATGTTGGCTCCACCATAGATCTGAGAACAGATCTGCTCGTTTCTGAGCAAATCTGGCCTAGAATCTGAATTCGATTTGTCCCACCATTTCTACCATTGCTTGCCTTTTTATTTATTAGTTTAAAGTGTCAGATTTGAGTGATCTACATCGTTAGATCGTTTCGATTTTGTGTGGGTCGTTTGGCGACACGTCTCGTGCCGCCTAGGCCACACGGTCTGTGTCGCCCAGCCTGGACCCGACGACACGTTTCGTGCCGCCAAAATTTTATTTAAAAAAAAAAAATTCATATAGGCGGCATGTCTCATGTCGCCCACCTCAATTTAAAATAAATTAAATAAATAAATTCCATATGGGCAGCACGTGACATGCCGCCTGGGCGACACAACTTGTGTCGTCTGGGCGACACAACCCGTGTCGTCCACCTTAGTTTAAAAAAAAAAAAAAATTCCATATGAGCGGCATGTCCCGTGCCGCCCAGGCGACATGACCCGTGTCGCCCACCTAAGTTTAACAAAAAATAAAAAATAAAAAAATAAATTAAATGGGCGGCACGTCTTATGCGCCGACCTCATTTAAAGAAAAAAAGAAAAACAAATACATGGGCGACATGTCTTGTGCAGCCCGAACGACAAGAACCGAGTGGCCCACCTTATTATTTTTTCTAAAAAAAAAATAATAATTTATGGGTGGCACATCTCGTGCTTCCCGAGCGACACAAACCGTGTCACCAACCTCATTATGAAAAACAAAAAACAAATTACATATGGGCTGCACATCTCGTGCCGCCGGGGCGATACGAACCGTGTCACCCACCTCTTTAAACCAAACAAAAAAAAAGAATTTTTTTTACATGGGCGGCATGTCTCGTGCCTCCTAGGCGACATGACCTATGTCACCCACCTCAGTTAAATAAATAAATAAATAAATAAAATAGTTACATGGGCTGCATGTCTCATGCGCTCAGGTGACATGCCCCGTGTCGCCCACTTCAGTTAAAAAAAAAAAAAACAAAATACATATGGTTAGCACTTCTCGTGCCACACAGGTGACACAAATCGTGTCGCCCACCTCATTTAATATATATATATATATATATATATATATATATATATTCACACACATGGGCGGCATGCCTCTGCCACCTGGGCGACACTGTCTGTGTCTCCCACCCCATTACAATTAAAAATAATTTTTGGAAAATTTTGAACAATGAAAGAGGATTCTACTATCCCAGGAAATCAATCAGAATACAAAACAAAATTCTGGATAGGTCACAATTTTTTATTTTATTCATCCCTTGACAATGGCTTCATTACATGAATTCTCACGATCAAATCTGATCTTGAGACCAAAATTCCGGACCAAATTCAACAAAACTACTGAAAAATAGTGCTGATCATGAGATCAACTTATTCATGCTAAAAAAAAAAATGTAAAGAAATGACAATATGTTTGGTTATTCAGTCTTTGGTTTCGGATGAACGTCCTTCTCCTTGAGTTCCGCCACGAAGGCCACTCATCGAGCCGATTCAGCTTCAGCATCTTCCAAACTAATGTCAAATACGTCCCCATTCGATTTGATTCGTTTATTATAGCAAGAGGTACTATCTTCTCGATGGGACACGAGATCTTGAGCTGGAGTAGAAGACTCACGATGAAATCTCGAAGATTTAGGGCATAGTGGAAGAGGGCAGACACGTTCCCACCAAGAATCATAGTTCGAAGTAGTTGTGGGCATGTCTTGCTTAGCCAGCCCCTCGCTAAAAGAGGACTTCTTTCCCTTCTACGACAAACTCGCCTTCACCTGAGGAATGGAAGAATGCTGACGAAGCGGAAAGATAGGGCTACAATCAATCGCCTACAATCAATCGCCTCTCTTGGAGAGGTGTAATAAGGCATGAATGCCCCATAACAGGCAGCAATAGAGACACATTTTCAAGACCCCTGATCACCCAATCGAATGACGACAACTCGTCAAGAATCCTACGATAATAATTGATATTCTGGGGTTGCGTGGGGTCATTGACATAAGCCAATCCCAGAGTAGCAGATACAGCCGTCGTTGATCGAAGAGGGCAGACAACAGTGACGTGGTCATAAGCCCAAATCTGCATAAAATCAGGGCGTTGTCCTCAAAATCGAGTTCCAGGGGCAAAATAAATAAAATTATGTTCAAAATATACCTACAAAATCAGGACATTACCCTCAATAAATCGGTCACCTCACGTGACCTCGGCGTGAAGACCCCGGTATATGCCTGCCAACATGGTCGAAACAATAGTATGACCCGCTCGTTCCCAGAA